GGCTTTTATAGGTTCTGAGATCCTTGAACTCATATTTTGCAATTGGCAAAACCGACCATGAAACCTGTGTGTTAGAGTGAGACAGAGCGAGAAAGAGTGAAATTGTTTTCGTGATTCTGGCTGTAATAATTATACGATCTGGTTCAGATTTTGCACTCTAGAAGATATAGTCATCTTCTACGATTCTGCGTTTTTAGTTTTCTCGTATCGTCGAAATTGTGGATGCCACAGATTTTCGCTCTTTGTGGGGGCGGAAGTGGGCGGGGCAAAGTTTTGAAATATTTTTGGAGCAGTGACATATCACAGAAGTCTGGATCCAAAACATCGTTGCTCTAGCTCTTATAGTCTTTGAGCATTAGGCGCTGAAGGGGACGGACAGACGGACAGACGGACAGACGGACAGACGGACGGACGGACAGACAGACAGGGCTCAATCGACTCGGCTATTGATGCTGATCAAGAATATATATACTTTATAGGGTCGGAAACGATTCCTTCTGGACGTTACACACATCCACTTTTACCACAAATCTAATATACCCCAATACTCATTTTGAGTATCGGGTATAAAAACCAGAACATATGTTCACACATGTTTGTATATAAACCCAAAATGTTCCATTTGTGTAGCCATTTATTTTGTATAAACAATTATTTGTCTATTTTACCATTCCCAACGTCCAAAAGACTCCTTTTGTATTGTTCTTCAGTGACCATAACGCCCCCCATGTCCACAAAACGTGTATGCATTCCAGCAGCAATAAATCGCTTGGTAGCTGGCATATCTAAGCGAGGAGCTTCGAGTGAGGTATTTAATTCCTTGCTTCTAGCCAGGATTTCCTTTGCGCGACCCAAATCATGTATTATACCATGCTGAAACCATAAATTCAATATCTTAAGTTATTAAATATACGTACTAAATATTATAACTTTACCTTAGACACATCTGAGCCCTGTAACTTTAAATACATCCAATATAATGTGGTGGTTAAGTATACCAAATAACTGTCCAATTCGATTTGTTCGTCTAAGTTCATATGTGGCGATCTGTGCGCTGAGAGAGCTTTTTTCAGGTCAGTCTCTAAAGCATCCAGGCTTAAATCAAAGCTTTCAACAGCTCCTTGAATTTTATTGTCTTTTTGTAGCTTTTCCTCCAGATGAAAGCCACGTCCCGCTTTTTTTATATTGTAATCTTTTGTTTTCGACATTTAAATCCTATGTAGTAAACTTCTATCTACAATATTAAAAGTAAACATTTTATAATTAGTCTATGACTAAAGTAGTTTTCAAAAATGCAGTAATACAACAAGCGGGAACATTGTGAGACGCGACAAGGGCCGCGGCTCTCCTTTTATTCTTAGTTATTTCATTGTTTCTCATTTGGGATCTGAGAAAGATAGCTTTATATATGGTTACACAAAAAACTATTGCATTTTGGCACTCTCCGCTTCCAATTTGTAAGCAATACAGTATGAATTTGATTCCCGCACAATGGTCCGCCGAGAAAAAACAGTGGAGAGAGTTTGCGAGAGTCCCGCAAAATGCTCGCAAACTAGCTTGTGTACGAGCGTATGGCTATGCGTCGCAAAACTCTCGCAAACGAGCTCGCAAGCGAGTCAAAAAAAAAAGCTGCAAGCCTTCATGTGCCTTCAGTCCGGCAATGCTCCTTCGGCTCTCTGTTCACGTCTCGACAGATTAGTGGTCGAGAAGTCATTCGTGTTTTTCTTTTTCTACATGTGTCCAGCATTAGAAACAAGTTTAAATAAAGCCTGCGTTCCTTGCGCTGGCATTTCAATTATTTTCGTCGAATTGTGCAGTACTAAGTTAAAAATCTCTACAATCTCTTACGAATTTAATAGAAACTTCTACCAATAGGTAAGTACGTTATTAATAAAAGAAATAAAATGTCTTACAAAAGAAAAAGCCGAACATATATCGGAGAGGCTCGACATGTGCAAAGAGCTACTGGAGATTTTGAGGTTAAATTGAATATTTCGGAACCCGAACTCCAACAAAATGCATTACTTTGCGATAGTAATAAATTTCCATTTACTGAACATTCCAGTTGAACTGACTTAATCGGTTAACTATGGCAGGCAATGCCTTGGTTAATATTTAAAAACTCTTTAACAGATTTCCTTACGAAATTTAATTATTTATCTTCGAATATAAGTTTAAATATTAATGTAGACGGTCTTCCGCTATGTAAAAGTTCTAGAATGCAAGCATGTCTCATTTTGATTAACGTCAATGGCACAAAGCCAGTTTTGGTAGCTGGAATATTTGCAGGTAATTTCTTTATTTGCAAGAATTTGTCTACGAGTAAGGAGAATTGATAAAGGAAGGGATGATGTTTCAAAATATGTGTTTCCGAATATCTATGAGAGCAATCATATGCGATGCGCCAGCCCGCGCTTTTATATTGGCTGTGAAATATCGTTCGGGTTTTTATTCCTGCAACTAATGCATTCAGAAAGGGGAAACTTTCCGTTTTCTTTGAAACGGGACTCCATAGCTTCCCTTAATAATAAACTTATGACTCTTAAAAAGTTTTTATCTAGGGAATTCAATAGAGAAGTTAGATCTCTAGATAATCTCGACCGATTTAAAGCCACTGAGTTTCGAACGTTTTTATTATATACTGGACCAATAGCATTAAAAGGCATTTTAGATACCGGCTTGTATAATCATTTTTTACTGCTAAGCTTAGCGATAAGACTTCTTCTACGCAAAGAATATTGTGTCACGCAAAATTCTCCTGCATCCAGCTTGCTGGATAATTTTGTAAGTCAAGTTCCGTCTTTCTATATGAACGCAATGCTCACTTTTAATTTTGATTGCTTAACACATTTAAGCAAACAAACCATTCAATATGGTTCTCTACAGACCATAAGCTCATATACGTTCGAAAACTTTCTGGGCCATCTTAAAAATATGGTGATAAATTCGAACTACTCATTGGAGAAATTTAACTGTACATTGTTGAACTCTAAACATTAAACATGAAATAAAAAATAAAATTTGTCATAGCCAATTAGTAGTTGGTCTAGAAGCATACTTTACTTCTCCCATAAACTCTACCTATGTGGGCATTTTCTATTCAAAAGTACTATATTTCGACTCGACCACATCGCAACATGATATAGAAAAATATCAGAAAAAAAATTTCATTTTGAAGATTGTGGAAATCACATTTACTTTCCTTTAATTGAATAATTTTAGATTTTTAAAAGTGGCTTACCAATACGATTTTAATTTTGAGGAAATGGTAGCGGAAAATACTCAAATAACAGGTAACATTTTGAGTGACTTTCCTTCGGCTTTACCTTGCGCTTTCGTTTTAATATATTTTCAGACATATCTAATACGGCTCCAAATAATCGGTCCAATAATTATGGTAATGCATTGAAACATTTTCATGCTCAATAGACTTATTTGAAATAAGGGGGCGGAACTTATTTCGTTGCGTAGTGAAGTCGCATCAATAAAAGCTCGAGAGTGCGGAGAGCCTAACATGGTAAAATTGACAGTGCCACGTTCACCACTGGCCAGTCTAGAGGCAAGGCTTTTAAGAATTTGAAGATTATCTTAAAGAAGAGCACGCTTTCAAGAACTTGGTAAGGAATTGTTTACATTTTTTGAGTAAATATAAGCGATGATGTGGCGAAGTTTTTCTCCTGGCGTGGGACAGACTCCAAAAAGCATTTAAACAGAAGCTTGCGCTCGACGATCACGATTTTGACCACACAACACAAAAATATTTTCAGTATGCTCAAGAGCGGAAGGCCAGATTAAATAATACATACATATATCTTCAATATTCAATATTAATATATTAAATTCATGTCATATTAAAAATTAAAAATATTTTTTATTACGGAACAAAATAGGAACGGGCCTTTTACGATATCATTTATGAGCCTTTTGCGATATCGTTTGCGAGCCTTTTGCGAGTCGTTTTTGATATAAAATAATATCAAAACGAGGGGGAACGTTGTGAGTTGCTGCGACACGACAAAGAGTGCGTGCGAGAGAGACAGAAAATCAGTCTGACCGTGACGTCGGGCGCTGCGTATCCACTGCAAATTGATTTGTTCCTGTTGGCTATAAAAATGATCTGATCTGATCCAGATTCAGCAATCTGATAGATATGGTCATTATCTATGAATCTGCGTTTTTAGTTTTCTCGTATCCTCAATATTGTGGATACAATAGATTTTCGTCCTCTGTGGGGGCGGAAGGGGGTGGGGCGAAATTTTGAGATATACGTTTTATAGTGAGATCTAACAGAAGTGCGGATACCAAATTTTGTTACTCTTGCTTTAATAGTCTCTGAGATTTGTGGATGACCAAGATTTTCGTTGGCTAAACCGACCTTGAAACCTGTGTGTTAGAGAGAGACATGATTCTGGCTATAATAAAATTTTTATAAAAATGGTTCCCCACTTTAACTTTTGATTTAAATATTTGGCAAGACTGAAACCTTTCCAAATATAAACAATTGGCATTCATACTTTTAGAAAAATTCGAGCTATTCCATAAAAAAATAGCACGACACCGATGTACTTATTTTTTGGGCCAGAGGTGTATATACCATATATATTTACATTTTAAAATTTTAATTTTATTTCGCTAGACTGGCTATTTTGCCTATTGTGACTATTAGCAAGCTATATGATTTACTGTCGTGTCGGTTTACTTAATGTCTACATTCAGAAAAATAATGAGTCTAGAAGGGACTGAGCAGAGTCACGGTCATGATCGTATTTGCACTGCTTACAGACACAAGTGTCAGAAAGAACGACACAGTAATATTCAGAGAAAAATTTTAATTTGTCTGTATTCAATATCGCTTTCAATATCCTTATAACAAATCAACACGAAAATAATATCATCATTTTCGTCACGAATAACGTATAATAAAGTAACTTTTAATTTATGTAAATTTTGGCCAATGTAAGAGTAAAAAAAAAAACCAGAACATATGTTCACACATGTTCGTATATAAACCCAAAATGTTCCATTTGTGCAGCCATTTATTTTGTATAAACAATTATTTGTCTATTTTACTATTGTCAACGTCCAAAAGACTCCTTTTGTATTGTTCTTCAGTGACCATAACGCCCCCCATGTCCACAAAACGTGTATGCATTCCAGCAGCAATAAATCGCTTGGTAGCTGGCATATCTAAGCGAGGAGCTTCGAGTGAGGTATTTAATTCCTTGCTTCTAGCCAGGATTTCCTTTGCGCGACCCAAATCATGTATTATACCATGCTGAAACCATAAATTCAATATCTTAAGTTATTAAATATACGTACTAAATATTATAACTTTACCTTAGACACATCTGAGCCCTGTAACTTTAAATACATCCAATATAATGTGGTGGTTAAGTATACCAAATAACTGTCCAATTCGATTTGTTCGTCTAAGGTCATATGTGGCGATCTGTGCGCTGAGAGAGCTATTTTCAGGTCAGTCTCTAAAGCATCCAGGCTTAAATCAAAGCTTTCAACAGCTCCTTGAATTTTATTGTCTTTTTGTAGCTTTTCCTCCAGATGAAAGCCACGTCCCGCTTTTTTTATATTGTAATCTTTTGTTTTCGACATTTAAATCCTATGTAGTAAACTTCTATCTACAATATTAAAAGTAAACATTTTATAATTAGTCTATGACTAAAGTAGTTTTCAAAAATGCAGTAATACAACAAGCGGGAACATTGTGAGACGCGACAAGGGCCGCGGCTCTCCTTTTATTCTTAGTTATTTCATTGTTTCTCATTTGGGATCTGAGAAAGATTGCTTTATATATGGTTACACAAAAAACTATTGCATTTTGGCACTTTCCGCTTCCAATTTGTAAGCAATACAGTATGAATTTGATTCCCGCACAATGGTCCGCCGAGAAAAAACAGTGGAGCGCAGTATATTTTTAAGCACATCAGATCCGTTTTCCTGTGATGACACAACATTGATTTTTTATACCAGATACTTTAAGAGTATATGGATATATAAGATTAGTGGTGGATGCGTGTAACACCAAAAACGAAGCGTTTCCGGCCTCATAAAGAATAAATATTTTTGATCATCATCAATAGCCAGGAAAAGAATCCAAAAACGAAGATTTGAACATTATATTTGAACGATGATATGCACTGACTGCATCTTTGAAGTGGCTATGCAGTTACTGCACCATTAAGTGGCCCGTGTGACACCAGTAGAAGGCTGTTACGCGCGGATCCCAGGCAAAGTGCAGTTCTCCTCTCCTCCCGCCCAAACGACCGAGGGGCGCTGCCCCTGTTAGACTAATATGAGAGCAAAATTAGTACTTAACTTACTAAGAGAACTACTCAGAAAACAAACAAACGTGCCTTTTGCGAGAGTCCCGCAAAATGCTCGCAAACTAGCTTGTGTACGAGCGTATGGCTATGCGTCGCAAAACTCTCGCAAACGAGCTCGCAAGCGAGTCAAAAATAAAAGCAGCAAGCCTTCATGTGCCTTCAGTCCGGCAATGCTCCTTAGATTAGTGGTCGAGAAGTCATTCGTATTTTTCTTTTTCTACATGTTTCCAGCATTAGAAACAAGTTCAAATAAAGCCTGGGTTCCTTGCGCTGGCATTTCAATTATTTTCGTCGAATTGTGCAGTACTAAGTTAAAAATCTCTACAATCTCTTACGAATTTAATAGAAACTTCTACCATAGGTAAGTACGTTATTAATAAAAGAAATAAAATGTCTTACAAAAGAAAAAGCCGAACATATATCGGAGAGGCTCGACATGTGCAAAGAGCTACTGGCGATTTTGAGGTTAAATTGAATATTTCGGAACCCGAACTCCAACAAAATGCATTACTTTGCGATAGTAATAAATTTCCATTTACTGAACATTCCAGTTGAACTGACTTAATCGGTTAACTCGGTGGCTGTCTGCAAATAATGTCAGCACTATGGCAGGCAATGCCTTGGTTAATATTTAAAAACTCTTTAACAGATTTCCTTACGAAATTTAATTATTTATCTTCGAATATAAGTTTAAATATTAATGTAGACGGTCTTCCGCTATGTAAAAGTTCTAGAATGCAAGCATGTCTCATTTTGATTAACGTCAATGGCACAAAGCCAGTTTTGGTAGCTGGAATATTTGCAGGTAATTTCTTTATTTGCAAGAATTTGTCTACGAGTAAGGAGAATTGATAAAGGAAGGGATGATGTTTCAAAATATGTGTTTCCGAATATCTATGAGAGCAATCATATGCGATGCGCCAGCCCGCGCTTTTATATTGGCTGTGAAATATCGTTCGGGTTTTTATTCCTGCAACTAATGCATTCAGAAAGGGGAAACTTTCCGTTTTCTTTGAAACGGGACTCCATAGCTTCCCTTAATAATAAACTTATGACTCTTAAAAAGTTTTTATCTAGGGAATTCAATAGAGAAGTTAGATCTCTAGATAATCTCGACCGATTTAAAGCCACTGAGTTTCGAACGTTTTTATTATATACTGGACCAATAGCATTAAAAGGCATTTTAGATACCGGCTTGTATAATCATTTTTTACTGCTAAGCTTAGCGATAAGACTTCTTCTACGCAAAGAATATTGTGTCACGCAAAATTCTCCTGCATCCAGCTTGCTGGATAATTTTGTAAGTCAAGTTCCGTCTTTCTATATGAACGCAATGCTCACTTTTAATTTTGATTGCTTAACACATTTAAGCAAACAAACCATTCAATATGGTTCTCTACAGACCATAAGCTCATATACGTTCGAAAACTTTCTGGGCCATCTTAAAAATATGGTGATAAATTCGAACTACTCATTGGAGAAATTTAACTGTACATTGTTGAACTCTAAACATTAAACATGAAATAAAAAATAAAATTTGTCATAGCCAACTAGTAGTTGGTCTAGAAGCATACTTTACTTCTCCCATAAACTCTACCTATGTGGGCATTTTCTATTCAAAAGTACTATATTTCGACTCGACATGATATAGAAAAATATCAGAAAAAACATTTCATTTTGAAGATTGTGGAAATCACATTTACTTTCCTTTAATTGAATAATTTTAGATTTTTAAAAGTGGCTTACCAATACGATTTTAATTTTGAGGAAATGGTAGCGGAAAATACTCAAATAACAGGTAACATTTTGAGTGACTTTCCTTCGGCTTTACCTTGCGCTTTCGTTTTAATATATTTTCAGACATATCTAATACGGCTCCAAATAATCGGTCCAATAATTATGGTAATGCATTGAAACATTTTCATGCTCAATAGACTTATTTAAAATAAGGGGGCGGAACTTATTTCGTTGCGTAGTGAAGTCGCATCAATAAAAGCTCGAGAGTGCGGAGAGCCCAACATGGTAAAATTGACAGTGCCACGTTCACCACTGGCCAGTCTAGAGGCTAGGCTTTTAAGAATTTGAAGATTATCTTAAAGAAGAGCACGCTTTCAAGAACTTGGTAAGGAATTGTTTACATTTTTTGAGTAAATATAAGCGATGATGTGGCGAAGTTTTTCTCCTGGCGTGGGACAGACTCCAAAAAGCATTTAAACAGAAGCTTGCGCTCGACGATCACGATTTTGACCACACAACACAAAAATATTTTCAGTATGCTCAAGAGCGGAAGGCCAGATTAAATAATACATACATATATCTTCAATATTCAATATTAATATATTAAATTCATGTCATATTAAAAATTAAAAATATTTTTTATTACGGAACAAAATAGGAACGGGCCTTTTACGATATCATTTATGAGCCTTTTGCGATATCGTTTGCGAGCCTTTTGCGAGTCGTTTTTGATATAAAATAATATCAAAACGAGGGGGAACGTTGTGAGTTGCTGCGACGACAAAGAGTGCGTGCGAGAGAGACAGAAAATCAGTCTGACCGTGACGTCGGGCGCTGCGTATCCACTGCAAATTGATTTGCTCCTGTTGGCTATAAAAATGATCTGATCTGATCCAGATTCAGCAATCTGATAGATATGGTCATTATCTATGAATCTGCGTTTTTAGTTTTCTCGTATCCTCAATATTGTGGATACAATAGATTTTCGTCCTCTGTGGGGGCGGAAGGGGGTGGGGCGAAATTTTGAGATATACGTTTTATAGTGAGATCTAACAGAAGTGCGGATACCAAATTTTGTTACTCTTGCTTTAATAGTCTCTGAGATTTGTGGATGACCAAGATTTTCGTTGGCTAAACCGACCATGAAACCTGTGTGTTAGAGAGAGACAGAGCGAGAAAGAATGAAATTGTTTTCTTGATTCTGGCTATAATAAAATTTTTATAAAAATGGTTCCCCACTTTAATTTTTGATTTAAATATTTGGCAAGACTGAAACCTTTCCAAATATAAACAATTGGCATTCATACTTTTAGAAAAATTCGAGCTATTCCATAAAAAAATAGCACGACACCGATGTACTTATTTTTTGGGCCAGAGGTGTATATACCATATATATTTACATTTTAAAATTTTAATTTTATTTCGCTAGACTGGCTATTTTGCCTATTGTGACTATTAGCAAGCTATATGATTTACTGTCGTGTCGGTTTACTTAATGTCTACATTCAGAAAAATAATGAGTCTAGAAGGGACTGAGCAGAGTCACGGTCATGATCGTATTTGCACTGCTTACAGACACAAGTGTCAGAAAGAACGACACAGTAATATTCAGAGAAAAATTTTAATTTGTCTGTATTCAATATCGCTTTCAATATCCTTATAACAAATCAACACGAAAATAATATCATCATTTTCGTCACGAATAACGTATAATAAAGTAACTTTTAATTTATGTAAATTTTGGCCAATGTAAGAGTAAAAAAAAAAACCAGAACATATGTTCACACATGTTCGTATATAAACCCAAAATGTTCCATTTGTGCAGCCATTTATTTTGTATAAACAATTATTTGTCTATTTTACTATTGTCAACGTCCAAAAGACTCCTTTTGTATTGTTCTTCAGTGACCATAACGCCCCCCATGTCCACAAAACGTGTATGCATTCCAGCAGCAATAAATCGCTTGGTAGCTGGCATATCTAAGCGAGGAGCTTCGAGTGAGGTATTTAATTCCTTGCTTCTAGCCAGGATTTCCTTTGCGCGACCCAAATCATGTATTATACCATGCTGAAACCATAAATTCAATATCTTAAGTTATTAAATATACGTACTAAATATTATAACTTTACCTTAGACACATCTGAGCCCTGTAACTTTAAATACATCCAATATAATGTGGTGGTTAAGTATACCAAATAACTGTCCAATTCGATTTGTTCGTCTAAGGTCATATGTGGCGATCTGTGCGCTGAGAGAGCTATTTTCAGGTCAGTCTCTAAAGCATCCAGGCTTAAATCAAAGCTTTCAACAGCTCCTTGAATTTTATTGTCTTTTTGTAGCTTTTCCTCCAGATGAAAGCCACGTCCCGCTTTTTTTATATTGTAATCTTTTGTTTTCGACATTTAAATCCTATGTAGTAAACTTCTATCTACAATATTAAAAGTAAACATTTTATAATTAGTCTATGACTAAAGTAGTTTTCAAAAATGCAGTAATACAACAAGCGGGAACATTGTGAGACGCGACAAGGGCCGCGGCTCTCCTTTT